TTTTTTGATATTTTATTATATTTGTATTTACTCGTTTGTTGGACTTTCTTTATTGTAATTTTTTTTATTATTTACCATTTAATACTTAATTTATTTTGTTAATTTTGTTTATTACTTAATTTAAGCGAATGGTGGTGATCATTTAGTGCTTTTTAATTGTTTTTTAATAATAATAGTAAATTTATGTATAAAAAAACATTTGTCTTTTAAAAGTTTGTTGTATTTAAAATTATATTCAAATACAAAATTGTTATTAGTTTGATAAAATTTAATAATTGTGTTTGATAATTTTCTTAAGTTTGTCACTTATTATCTCTTTTATTTTAATCACATATAACACCAACGTCGAATCCTGTTTTCTTGTATTGTTTTTTTAATTCATCAATGGTTATCAAATAACATTAACTTTAAGTAAATGTGAATTAAATTACAATAACTATTATTTGATGAACAACAACTACATCAGTTCCTCATCAAGTAAATAGTTACTTGATGACAAAAGAAGTGGACATGTTTTTCTAATATGTCCTGGGTTTCTACAATGCCCACATCTTTTGTCTTGTCTAGATGTTTCTCGAATATCCATATCACAATGAATTCGAGTGGATTTTGGTCGACCATGGTCCCTCAATAAAGTCAGATCTGGTACAATTGGAACCCAATTTTGAACTTCATTAGGGTCTTTTTCATTACCTATAAGGGGAACTCAAATTCGTATACCTTAAACACTTCTGATAGTAGGTATACGAGATCCATAAAATGGTTATAGTCTTGATGGGTATGCGAGCAAGCTGCTATCACATGAGAGCATGGATACTTCAGAGCTTTAAAAAACCCATAGTCGCACCATCCGTCCCATAAATTTACTCTTAACGAGTTAGCTTCAATCCCTTAAAGAGGTCACGACATCTCTATGACACGAAATAATTCATGTGTTCTAGAGAAGCTTGTTACAGACATTCCATTTGATGCAGTAATTTTTTTTGCAGATATGTAACTAATCTAGGGTGATAGACATGACCGTCTTGCATCCATATTTGAACTTGTCCCCCGAGCTTGGAAAAAAGTGCCCTCAAATGAAGATATGTAGTTTTTACCAAAGTCGCTACAGGTAAGTGACGTGTCCCCTTTAAGGTTGAATTAATTGCCTCAGCCAAGTTGGTCATCATGTGTTCATATCGATATCCACGATCATATGCATTTGTCCATATTTCTTTATTGACGAGGCTAATGTGATCGTATCATTCCTCGTTCTTCGCCCGCAAATCTTGAAGCATCGATTCAAATGTTTGAGGTAGTAGTTCGTAACCTGATCATAAAATGTAGAACTTACTAACTTTGTTTCTTTAAAAAATGAAAATGATAGAAAGAAAAAAACTACAGTAGTTTCACTTACCCATGCGCACAAGTAATTGGCACTCATCATTCTTCTTGAACCTTCCATGGTAGTTCGCATCAATGTGTCGGATACAGTACCTATGTTGGACAAAGGGTGGTTTCCACATTGGACCCAAAGACTCCATTGCTGCTTTGATCTCAGCTTCGCGATCTGAAATGACACAGATTTTTGCCCTTGTGATAACATGTGAACTTAAGTTTCGGAGGAAAAAAGCCCAAGAATCTGTATTTTCTCATTCAACAAGGACAAAAGAAAATGGAAGAATGTTGCGATTACCATATTGGAAACTACCAATAGTAAAACTTGCTTGTATTTTCCATACAAGAAAGTCTCATCGATCTGGACCACAGGCTTGCAGTATTTCACAGCATTAATGCACTGTGGGTAAGTCCAAAAAACCTGGTAGAATTGGCATCAATTTCGAAGAACTCGATCATTATGGTATGCATGACAAGTTTTGAAGTCCACAATTATCCCAGGATTCAACCTCCGCACCACCCTAAACCAACTTGGAAGTTCGTTGTAAGATGCATCCCATTCTCCGTGAAGTTTTTTAATGGCATTCTGCTTTGCCTTCCATGCTTTTTTGTATGAGACGGAATACCCCTACCGAGATTGTATAGCTGAAATCAACGCAGCAATAACTATATGGGATCTTGCTTTTACCATGGGCTTGATTGCTTGGCAGATCACTTCAGAGTCCAAGTTGAGATTATCTTGGTTGATCCCTCCAGCACAACATGTGTGAGGACCATTGTATATCGTTAGTTCCCATTTATTATTTTTCCTCTTCCTCTTTGATACTCGAACCATCCAATTGTATCCATTTTCACGTAAGACACGATGACATACATACTTTTCTGTCGTAGAGCTGTCGACTTTGGACTGAACAGAATTACGGATATTGTAATTCTTTATAGCTTTCATTCCTTCTTCTTCGCTTGAAAACTCCATGCCTAAATATAACTCACCATTATTTATTGATGAGTAAAATCCATAGTCACCGAGATTAGGCATATCCGCAAATTCTGGCCTGTGCATTACACCATATTCAACTTCATACATGTGTGTTGGAGGTTCAGTTTGTGTCACATTTGTGGGAACTTCATCTATATCATCATCATCATCGGAGTTGAACTGCGGTGATTCTGGGTGAATGAATAGTCCAGTCTCAGCATCATCCTCACATGGCTCACAAAGTGGTTATTCTCCTTGAACTAGAAGGCATATCGACATTGAGATCGAAAAACCTCGCAATAGAATGCCTCCCCCTAGAGCTTGAAGCCATCGTGTCAAATGGAAACTGCACAAATTGTTGTGTCGAGGGCATCTCCATATTTAGGTCAAATAAATTGGTAGATGAATGCCTTCCCCTTGAACTGGACGCGATGTTGCCATACGGATTGTTTTTGAACCCATCTCGGTACAGATCGTAAGAAGTTACTGATGAATGTCTCCCCGTTGAAGTCGATGGGATGACACCATGATGCGGATTTCCCATTATGGCATTAAAAACATTACACATTATTGTAGTTGGTCTGTCAACTTGATCGGCTTGTCAGCCAGCCCATAGTGGGAGCTTAATGACAGACCCCGAACAACACACATTTCAACAAACTTTGCATACATCTTCGTATCGGCGTCTGAATAATGATTTTGAGAGTCAACCATTATTTCAACATCATTATTGTTCGATAGTTCGAACGCTGTATAAGTTAACGGAAATAATGATGTTCGAACTCTGTACTGAAGAGACGACATTCTTCTAGTACTTCCAACATGAACCTTCCTTGAAATCTTCGTTATCAGCTCCGCAAGAGTTATGTTTCTCTTTAAGGATATTTTAACATAATGATTTGATACGAAAACAACACCGGTTTCATCTTCTCGAATTTCTTCATCATAATAAACAATAACTGAAATTCGTGTCATTCTTAGAGTTTAAAAGTGAGGCAATCTTATACCTGTAAAAAAACCTGAAATAAGCCTAATTAAATAAATAATATATGAATTAAAATATAACACAATAAAAAATTTACACATAAACGTAAATAATTTAAATAATATAATTTTATATTATTACCGTATAGGCAAAAATATTTCGACGTATGCTTCCGCTTTCCAATTTTACAACCACAAAAATTAATTGAAAACAATTAGTACAATATTTTTTTCTTCAAATAATCATATATAATTATAAAAAATATTATAAAAAAATTACCTTACAACGAAATATCGAACGAACTTCTGAATCAAAGATAAGAGGATTGTCAGGTGATATTTACGGGTTGAGAGGATTATTTTTTGATGTTTTAGGTTGAGAGGATTGTTGTGTGAATGTTTACGGGGTAGGAGCATTTTATTTATAGCCGAGAGGAAACGCTTTAAAGCCGAGAAATACGAATATAATTATACAAGGCGCACCCCATGCACCGCGCCATTCTGCCACGTGTCAGATGGATGGAATGCGAGACCCATGCATCACGCCTTACCCTACGTGGCATAAGGAGCGACCCATTCACCGCGCCTTGCCCAGCGTGACGCCATGTCAACGTAAGGCGCGATGCATGGGCCGCACATTTCTGGAAATGGTGTTAGATCGGGAAATATACCTGCATGGGTGTTTGACAGAAAAATAAAAAAAGTTAGGTTGATTTTTGGGAAAATTCACCTCATATATCCTGTCGATATTATTACTCAAAACTTAAGATTTTTAAGAAAATAATTGTCATTATAATTACTGATATTATTTAATAAATTCTTTTACATAATATTAACATATTCAATTTCGTTAAATATCTCTTTTGATTTTTAAAATCATATCGTTTAAAATGTTTTATTAAAATATCAAATGATAATTAGTGAAGGATCCAAAAATTTAAAAATAAGAATCCAAAATTTTAATATTTTTTTATAAACAATAGATATGCAAAATTTTTATTTTTTTTTATTTTTTCATAACATATTAAACTAAATTTTATCATTTTTTCAAAATAATGAGATACACTTAATCCGAATTTAATACATCCGCCAGTGCTGACAACAACATGTTTATTTTTTTAATCCTTATATGTCAATTTCTTTTAAATCTATTAAAACTATATATATAATTGATATGTCAAGTTCTTTTAAATCTATTATATGTATATCGTCCGCTTGAACTCATCACGATAATATGTAGTAGGGGTGTATAAAAATATTCTACTCAGTTGACTCGATTCATCGATCTGTTGAATTGAACATTAAAAAATTAGGTAATTTTTTTAAAAAAAATTATCCGAACAGGTCAGGTACTCGGCCCGAAATTTACTGGATCAGGCTCAGGTCACAAAATTTTGTTTTTTCAAATATCCGGGTATGTTAGTTTTTATTATATATATATATATAATATAATATATTATTTATATTATAAATTATTAGATTTTGTATTTTAAATTTTTAAATTTTATGTTCGAATATTAAAATATATAATTTAAAATTTCAAACATTTAAATTTATGTATCTCTTTTCCTTTTTTGAAGCCTAAGGAAATGCTTAGAAGAAAACCCACCAAGATCGAAGTGAAGCTCGAAGACAAGCTAGAACTCGAAGATTCCCGTAAACCTGCACCTCCTCCGACTGCCTCCACCGCCACCTCCTCTTCTTCCCTTCTCCACCTCCTCGATCGTTCCCACCCTATCCCCACCTCCAAGGTTCAACGCATCGGTCTTTCCCCCTATTGGAAGTCGAAGTCAAGCTCCGCCTCCAGGACGCCTCCGCCCACCGTCAATTAACCACCATCCTTTCTCCTTTCCTCTCCAGAACCCTCCACCAAGAAAACCTCTTCTTCGACACCCCAACAAATACCCTTTCCTCCCAACTCTCCGTTCTTCGCCTCCGCTTCCTCAACAATGACACCCGCTGCATCGTTTCCCTCAAATCCAGACCTATTCTGGTAGATGGTGTCAGTCGCGTGGAGGAAGATGAAGAGGACCTAGATCCGTGTGCTGCACGCGCTTGCGTGGATGACCCGGCAAATTTGGCTATGATTGAGTCGAGGATTTTGATGAGGGTTAAAGAGGAGTTTGGGGTTGGGGAAGAAATGGGATTTGTTTGTTTAGGTGGGTTTGAGAATAAAAGAGAGGTTTTTGATTGGAAAAATCTGAAGCTGGAATTGGATGAGACTAAGTATGAATTTGGGACATGCTACGAGATCGAATGTGAAAGTGAGGATCCTGATGGGGTTAAGAAATTGCTTGAGGAGTTTTTGAAGGAAAATGGGGTTGCTTATTCGTACTCTAAGATGACAAAGTTTGCTGTTTTTAGGTCTGGGAAGCTGCCTTAGCAAAGTGAGTTTGAGGTTAGTTCCTTGCATCAAAAGTTGATACTTGGAAGATTGCTCGCTCATCATTGTGGGTATTTGGTGATAATAATTTGTTTGTGTTATAGTTTCCTTGTTACGAACTTGTTTAAATTGCTAAGGTGCTTTAATCTTCTTTTACAGCGTCAAGAATCTTTTTTGAAAAAGGAAAATCAGGTTATTGCTTGTTCTTTACATTCAATGTAGCAGCAATTAGGTGGAAAGATCTGAGAAAACACGATAACTCCTTTGAAAAAAAATGGATATTTAACTCCATTGATTAGTAGAAATCTCGCTAATTGATAATCAGCAATGTTTTACCTTGGGACAAAAAAGGATGTGTTTGTGATTGGATTATACTGAGTGCTACATGTTTGTTATGGTATGTATGAGTGTTGTGTAATGTATAGGAAAACTAGAAAGAGGTTATTAGAATGCAAGAGCAGATAGTTTTATTGGTTCCCTCAAATGTTACGACTTGGAAGAACTGTTGACTCTTTGGTTGTTGTTCTCCAAAGCCTTCATCATAATCATTCATATGCTGTAAGCCCTGTAACGTCTTTTTTTTAAGTTAACGAATTCATTTGGGGCACTCAAGTCTGGCGAAAATGTTGTGAATGTGCATCTGCAACTGTATTCAACATTTGGTTACATGAGTCGAATAGATGGTAAAGGCTAACTTATTGAGTTTCCGCAATCCATTTATCAATGTAAAGTTGCACATTTGCATTTGTAGTTTCAGATCATAAGTTAATCCATTATGGGGCATGAATAGCTGGCTTAAGGTCATCAATGTTTAAGCAATAATGACAATGTAATTTATGTAGCCATCAATGTTTGCTTCTAGCAAAGGTTTATCTTTTTATCAAGAAACTATGCAGTGACACCTGAGACTTACTGTTTTCCTTAAGAACTTCGTCTGTGAACCTATCTGATTTCTCTTCTTTCTTTCCTTGTCTGGATCTGTGGTGAGGACAAGTTGGTTGGTGTTAATTACTTGACTTTTCATGATGAGAAGGGAATGATCTTGAATAGTTCTTATGTTGGAATAAAAAAATACAGGGCTATAAGACAAATAAGCGAGCTTGTATGCTGTATTAATTGAAATGTAATGTGTGAATTTTAATTAAATTGCAACTATGTTCTTCAGTCAGCTGTGAAGTCTAGTTGTTGCAGAGTTGATTTTGAATTTTTGATTCACTTCTTTAATCTGATAATGTGCTTTTCCCATTTTTAGGTTGCCATGCAGTATGGTTATCACACAAGCAATGGTAGAAGAAGCAAGGTTGATAATCTCTCGTGCAAAAAATAAACTTTAACTCTATCGTAATGTTATTCTGAGACCTTTTATCATTGGCAATGGACATGATTATTTTACTCTTTCGACAGACAAGGTTGAACTGCTAATTTAACGAGTCTTGTATCTCTGCCTTTGTGGGTGTTTTCTACAGAATTATTTTTTTTCAGAATTTTGCCTGTGCTGCCTCTTTTCTCCCATCCTGCCAATTCCCAGTAGGTCTCTAAATGCAAGGTTGCAAGATGAGTTGTAATTTCTCAATGACCTATGGATGGTGATGATCGTTCTTTTCATCATCTTTATCCGCATCGTTGTCGTCATCATCTTTTTCTTAACTCTCCATCCATCCCCATTGGCTTCAGTGTCATCCTCGGGATCCTCTTCCTCTCCTTCACTCGAGAAATCCTCATCAGATACGTCATCATCTGTGTTGTCATCCTCTTCATCTTCCTCACCATCCTCTACATCACTCGTATATTTGTTTTCTCAACCAGAATGTTTCTTTTTTAGAAGTCCATCGAATGGAAACCTGAAAGAAGCTGATCCCACTAACCAGTCGGATTTCGTTTTACCAACCTTTAGAAGTAGATGAAGATGAAAAGAAAAGCAACCCCTTTACCTCTAATCTACTGCAGTCAAATTAAGCGATGCATTAATATCATTTAGCACTGATCATGTCTGCAAAAACAATTTTATATCTAGCTACGAATTATCAAAGAAAAACATAATCACTGCAAGCTTCTATATGCAATTAACAATGTTACAAAGCAAAATAATAAGTTACCACCATCAATTAAAGTCCACCACATAACGAATATTAACGCTGTTAATATAATTAAGATCAGATACAAGTGGAAGGGGAGTGGACTACAGACAAGGAGGAACAGTTAATTTATATAAAATAATTATTAAATTTTTAATGATAAAAATGAGTATAATATAATAATATAATGCAAATCATGAGTTGTGAAATATAAATAAAACATTGAATTTAAAAAGTAATAATATTTGGCTGGGAAGTCGGTTTGAAGTCTCGTAAATCAACTACATCTAAGAATACATTTTCCAGCTGAACTTGTCTAAATAAATCCATACATCATTTAAGGATACCTAAAACTTGTACTGATAAACATGGCTACTCAGGCTCAGGCTCAGGCTCAGGCTCAGCCAGCTTAACAACAAATGTTCCATCAAGGAAAAAAACAAGTGTACAATGATGTAAAATCGATAAATTTGAAGGGTTAATATTGCAAATATTAAAAAAACCCACTAATTCTATGGGTTGCATTTATTTTCTGAAACAGGAAGACGGCTGGCTCCCTGTCAAAATTCATAGGAATAAAATTGCTTAGGCAAAGTGGCTTCGGCTCTTTTGCCTTGGGGCTTGGCTTCGTCAACATCAGTTAACACGGCACGGACGCCAAAGTGGAAACTGGAAACCACTCTCTACTCCTAGTCTTCCTCTCTTCCTTCTTTCTCCCCAAGTGCCGCCTGTCACACCCCGAATTTAATTTAAAGTATCTTATTTAATTAAGAGATTAAAACGGGTAGTTCTAAAAGATTTTAGAAGTTTGGGAAGTTCATGGACTTATCATTGAATTTATCCAATTTTCTGGTCAGTGAAAAAATAAAAAAAAAATGAGAAGTTGGAGGCTACGATGGATTGAACTTAGGAATTAGGGTATGGCTAGCCATTTTTCTGTCATCTAACCTAAGTCACTATTTGTGATTAATATAATAAATATAAGTATTATATTATCGTTTGGGATATAACCCATTTTTTAGAACCATTCCCCCATTCTCGTGAAATCCCTAAATTTTCCCCAAACCCTAAAAAATCTCTAGTATCATCGCACCCTTCACCGATTCGCCCGCTCCGACCGTCGTTGTGGTGTTCTGACATCACTAGTCGAACCGACGTTCTTCCACGATTGTCCCCAACCGTCAACGACCCCGAATCGATCACCAACCATCGTAAATCGAGGGAGGAAAACCTTGCGTCGCCACCACTTTTTCCCCTGATTGTCGCCGAACTAGTCGTCCCTTCGCCTCACCGTTTGCACCACCGAGCTCCCTTCCTCTGTGCGCTCAAAACCGAGGCCTTGGGTTAGGTCTTCACCGCTGTTTTCCTCCATCACCGGCGTGAGTAAGCGTTTCAACCATTTGTTTTTGTTTTCGATGGTTTTAGTTGATTTTGGGTATTTATATGGCTTCATAATGAGGTTTGGATGCTCCCAGAGTAGTCTGTTGTCGTCCCGGACCCTGTCACCACTATCATGCGCCACCACACGCCACCACATGTGCGTGGGGCTTCTCCCCTGGCTTGGAATCTCCTAGAACTAGTTCGAGTCAACTCGAACCGATCTAAGTCAACTCAGACTGAACCGAGTTAACCCGAACCGATCTGACTCGTTAACCTTGACCCGAATCGTTCACTTTGACATGACCATTGACATTTCCGTTGACTTTGACTTTGACCAGTTTGACCGTTGACTTTGACCAAAAAGTCATTTTTTTTAAAAGTCATTTTTTATGTTTTCGATGTCATGAGTCTAAATCCGAAGTCTATTTTGCCAAATTCAAACTCGGTAAGCTGTTTTCCAGTATTTTATCTCCTAATTCAGTACAATTTTCACGTTTAAGTTTTATTTCTAATGTAATTGGTTTGGCCATGTATCCGAGACATTATGGGACATGGAATTAAAGTTCGAGGGCAGTCAAATGGAGTTTAATTGGTAAATCGGTGTGACTCAAAAATTGAGGTAATACTTTACTACCCTATGCATGCTTTATGATACATGTTGCTGATTTGTTAATGCATGATTGGAGCTATTAGTCAATTACATAGAGTTAATTATTAATGGAATCGAATTGAATACAATATAAAGACAGTAATCCCAATAAGATTCAATTGCTCGTGTAAGGAACTAGAAGAATGATAAGAGATAAATCTAAGTTTAGTGATTTAATCAGTAAATCAATTAATCTTAGGACTCGTAAATTCTAATTAATCTCGTTAAAGGTTAAATGTCGAAAATACTTGGATAAGAAACTACAAAAATACCCTTGTGATGTAAACGACAAGGATTGTCCTTGAAAGTAAAAATAACCCTGTTAATCGATCATAACTTTTGAGATGGTAAAAGATTTAGAATTTTGATTCTTGAATAAACTCCTAAAGACTAATTTGCTAGAAGCAATGTATATGTCAAAATTAAATGAAATGACTGAAATATCATTGAAATGGGAAAATAACCTAGAATTTTTAATTCCTGAGCAAACACCCAGAGGCAAAATTACTGAAAGTACTTTACACGTCTAAATTACTAGAGATGACTATATTATATGACAAAGTTGAACTGAATAAAAGTATTGTACGTATCCGAATTGTTGAAACGGTCGAATTACTCTGAAAACTCTGAAATGATTGAGATAAACTTGAATACTAAATGACCTAAATACCCTCAATGACCTAGAATTAAGTGGATAACTTGGATAAGTCTGGAAACGTTGATGAACTTATATGTTACATCGTCCATAAAGGTTATGAACCACGAATCAAGCACGTTGACATTTTTTGATACTATTGCAATACGGAAATGAAATAAATACCATTGGAATACATGTTCGTTTATCTAAGATCCATTCAACGATGATTTTGAAGGTGATTAGTTCAACGATGATTCTGAAAGTGATTAGTTCAACTAGAGAAAATCAATATTAAGAAGTGAATAATGGTGAAATACCACGGTCTGAATGATTGGCAAGTATCACAATGTTGAGATTGGTTAGTTTAATTTGACTCGAAATCCTGATAATTTTATATAAATCCTAAATACTATAAATTGTTGTGCAACATCTCAAACATCGGGTCGGTGACCAGAAATGTAAGAAATGAAAGTTAGTAATTAAATTGGATTAAGTTGAAAAGTTCAAGGATTAATTTTGGAAATTATATTCAGGGTTTTTTTAGCAAATATGGAAGACTTGAAGGTAAAAGAAGTCTTTTGGCTGAAATGAATTAAAAACTCATTTAGGGAGATATATTTAACATAAGTGATGGGATAGGAAGAGTTATTTGGAAGCTTATATTTTCTCTAATTCTTTCTCTTCCCGTTAGCTCCATCAAATGTGAGTTTTAAAAATTTGTTGGTTTCTTTAAATTTTGGTTTAGTATTGAAATCTTGAGTGTTATATAAGCTTAAGGAAAGCTTGAATAGTAGTAAAACGACAAGATGAGCAAATTAGAAATGAAATTGTAAAATGGGTTTTGAAATGAATTTTTGTTATGGAGTAGGTTTTTGAGTTGTATGGATGAAATTGACTTGTCAATGATTAAACTTAAGAGTTAGGACTAAAAGAAACGATTAAGTGATTGGTTGAAAATATGGTATGATTTTAGATGTAAGTGTTCTAATGAGAGTTTGTATGTTTAAGAGTAGTAAATGAAGACAAGTTGGTTTGGTTGCATAAGGATGAATTTAAAGGCTTAACGAGGGATAAAAGAAAGAGAATTAGGAAGTTTTTTTGTTGATTTTCGAATTGAAAATAGCCATTCTGTGCATGGAGTATTGGTACCGTTATAACAGTACCAATACTTCAAGGGTTAAATCGGTAAAATACTAAGGGTGGTATCGATATTGGTTAAAGACGGTATCGATACCATGGGTATGGTATCGATACCATTTTCAAGATATAGTTCCTGAACGTCGTAATAGTATCGGTATCGTAAGGAGGTATCGATACCCCTGAAGGGAAGTATCGATATTGTAGTGGTAGTATCGATACTTCTAGGCATGAAATGAAAAGTTAATATTTCTTTCATCATAAGTTATTATGATTGGATATAAAT